GTGTTTTGAGTACAATCAGAAGTACACTGCACAGCTTTGTGGTGCAATATAAATCATGATTATCCTGCGTAGGCACTTGTGCTGACTGGATCCTACTGGAGATGTTTGCAGATTGGGCTGTTGCAGGATCACATCTTAATATATAACTGAGCCAATTGAAAGTTACATCTGATTTCTAATTTAGGTCATTGCCTGTCCAGTAAAATAAACAATCAAACGTAGACCAGCTGTTAAGAATTCAGTCTGGTCTGTTGCTGTTTAACGTATTGATTAATTAATCAATCAACCAATAATTAATTAATTAATTACATTTTAATTCTCATCTTATTTGTTGGATTTGCATTGAAAACTGTTTCCCTATCCATACTGTCACTATGGAATCCCCACCATGTCCTTATAGTGTGCACCACCCCATTGTTGCTTCCTTCAAAATTCAGCATGGCGCGCACTGTCTCTGTGTTGACCAATCTCACAGCTTTAAAACGTCACACAACACCATGGAAGATGCAGTAGCCCACATAAAAGATCAAACATGTGCTTGTTATGTGTTGCTTAGATCTTTGGGACTTATCGTGAAAGACTATATAGCTGGTGTTCTGTCTCATTACCCAATTTATACATGTGGAAATAGACCGCAGAAGACAAACAAAAAAGTAACACAATAGGCCAGTTATGTTATACATAAACTATATAATTTAATTATTTCATGAGATGTAGCCATTGTTAGATGGGCCAACATTTCTTACTCATCCTTAATTATCCCTTGAACAGAAAGGTCTGCTAGGCCATTTCAGAGGACAGTTAAGAGTTAATCACATTGCTGTGGGTTCAGAGTAATTTACAGGCCAGGTAAGGATGGGCATACGAACCCATGTCCCTAGATCATCAATCTAGTCTTGTGGATTATTATCCCAGTAACATTATCATATATCATTTCTTTTCTCTGCACCCAGTGATGATACTCGATGGAATAATTTTGGATTTATAAGAATGATAGAATTTTCAATGGAATGATTTTGGAAGCTAAATCTGAAGCTATAATTAAAATTAATTTAGACAAATAAGCCCAAGAGATAACTACATTGAAATTGCACAGAACTCATTTTAAGTATTTAGTAATAACTAAATACATGTTCATCTTTTCTGACATTATAGATCAAACAATGTTTGACTGCAAAGTAGGGTCCCTGGACTGAAATGTTAATTCTGCTTTCTCTCCACAGATGCTGCCAGACCTGCTGAGATTTTCCAGCAATTTCTGTTTCTGTTTCGAATTTCTAGTATTTACAGTTCTTCGGATTTTTGTTTAATGTTCAATTGCTATTATGTACACCATGAGTGCAGAACTGTTTTGAAGAAGGGTCACTTGATCCAAAACATTAACTCTGATTCTCTCCAGAGATGCTGCCAGACCTGCTGAGCTTTTGCAGAAATTTATTTTCTGTCTCTGATTTAAAGCATCCGCAGTTCTTTCAGTTTTTAAAACCTTCCAAACCTGGGTTATGTTTGGATAGAGTTTCCTGAAAAATTTAATGCTGGATTGAACTATAGCTGGTTGGAGGCCTGTCATTGACAATGGGCATAGTTTAAGGAAAATAATTAGGACATTTGCAAAAGCTCATCATGCAACCTTGAAGCAAAATGGTTTAAGTACAGCATCACCCTGTAGTATCACATCGTCCGTGTTTAATTGGCTAAGTTTATTGAGGGGCTGTGCAGCAGAATCCTTCCAGCAGCATATGCAAAAGTACAGCTTGATTATTTAATGTTATTCAAGCGTCATTAGTTATTTCCTATAATGTTACTAATTCAGCTAGGACTCACCCACGCACACAGCTCTCAGAGAATTCCATTTGAGTAATGGCTGTGCAGCTGAATCTGAAACTGAATCCTTTCATCTTATTCTAAATTTCAGGCAAATCCATCAGTATTATTTACTTAACTGTTCCCTGGAAGCCTTTTATAGTCTTTCTTGACAGACCTTTTACAAAACTTGCTCATGATCCAGCTGCTTTTCCCAATTTTCAGTCCATTGTTTCAACACAATTCAGCATTGAGTCAGCCACCAGCCCATGTGTCTGGAACACCCTTTTAACCCACCATTTTCTATTGATTCAGAAAAGGCTATATGAAGCAATAATGTGGACATTGTCCTGGCAACATCAAGACAGGAATAAATGAATGCATATCAAAGCTGCTAATCTTTTAGCCCATTATCAATTTGGCAAATCAGGGCATGTATAATCCAATATTGCTACTCAAGTATACTAATATATTTTCTCCATCTTAAAATAAGCTCTTCTAGCTAATATTTTCCAATTCAACATGAGCATCAAGGAAAAGCAGTACTGTTTGCTACATTACAAAGGTGCCCACAGACGGTGGCGGGTGAAAGGGGGACGCCTCCTGTGAACGTGTCCATGCTTCACAGTCAACGCTTAATGCATGTTTCATGTCATCACTTAATGTGTACTTAGCCAGAGCAAGTGCATGGTCCTGGACTTCATTCCAGATGTATGCCGAGACACTCAAGTTGGCTCAAGTATGGCTTCTATCCACTAGTAATCCATACCATTGGAAAACATTTAAGAAAAAGCTTTGGAAGTCTGTTGCATTTTTGAAGTTGAGCAAATATCACAAAGATAACCTTTGAAACAAAACCCCATAAACCTGCTATTCTATTGACCGTGCTAATTATGAAAACCCAGTGGGCTCACTAATTTCCTTCAATGCAGGGTATGAGCTATCGTGTTTCGAGCTCACATTGTATCTTGATTTTTAATGTTGTCTATTCTGGCTTCTCAGCTGTAAAAGCAATTACATAAAAACATCCATTACCACACATTTCTGTGTAATCAGCACCCCCAATACTACATCAGAAAAATAAACAGGATCGAAGTTAGTTGTGATACTCTTCAGGGCTGAGCAGATCACTATTATATTCAATTGGATGGGATATCAAAGAATTATTTGGTCCTGCTGAATCCTATCTATTTGTCTGCACCTGCGTATATTTAGTAGTTTTGTATTAGGAAAAAGGCAGTAACTGTAATGGACTTCAACAGCAAGAGTCAAAATTAAGGGGTACCCAGAGTTATCATTTTGGTGTATTGACTAGGAATTAAACAAAGGTATCACAGAAGCAAACTTTTAAATTTAATCTCTAAGCAACTGGTTTTGTGTTGAAAATAAATCACTCTACAGAAAGAAAAGAGTATGTGACAAATGCCATGTCAATTTGAAACAGATGAGAAAAAGAACGTTTTCATATAGAGCCTTTCAGAACCTCAGGATATTACAAACATGTTACAACCAATGAAGTACTTTTCGAACTGTACATTGTTGTAATGCAGGAAATGAAGACAATCTGGGTACAGCAAGGTTCCAAAAACATCACTGCAATGATGATTAGATTTTCTGAAGTTGGTTGAGGAATTACATGTTGGTCAGGACCACAGGGAACATCCCTGCAGTAGGCTGAATCATGCCAAGTGATCCTTTTGTCCTCGAGAAGGCAGACATGGCCTTGGTTTAAACAGTACACCTATGAAGCACAGCTCCTAAATTGCAACACTGAGTTCTGTGCTCAAATCTCTGAAGGGACTGAAACCTATAACTTTCTTACTGCAAGCCTACCACAAAGTGAAGGCTGACGCTTAACTTGGATATGCCCTTCTAATGTAAGGGAGGATAGAAAATAAGTCATTCACTATTTGACTGCACTATTCCAGAGACTAGCTGCAGTACTAATGCCTACGAACTGTACTATAACTTGAATAAATTCAACACGTCTTCATTCAAATACTTACTGATTCGACTCAAGGTGACTGCCAGTCAGTCAGAACCCCTAAAATAAACTCTTCTGTGAACAGTTAGGACAGAAATTGTGAAAAAATGAGGATCATATATCTGCAAATCATAGGTAGATGAATAACTAAACAGAAACATTGACCCCCCCCCCCACTTATATTATAGTCTGCAGATGTACAAAGTATCATTACATTCCTGAACGACTACTGAAGATTAAAGGGTGATCTCACTCAGTTGTAAATGACTAAAAGGTTGATACAGTAGGAAGGGACAAGCTATTTCCTTTTGTGTGGGAGATACCACAACAAGGAATAAAACAAAATTAGGGTTGGCTTTTATGGAACAAAGTCAGGAAGTACTTATTCAATCATAGAAGTATAAATTTGAATACCTCCTCCAAAATAGCGGTTGAGGGTTGAAATCAGTTTAAAATTTCAAAACTGAAATTGATAGGTTTTTGTAAAACAAGAACACTAAAGGCTATAGAACCAAAGCAGGTAAATTGATTTAATATTCATATATTATATAATGTACATTAGCATATCTATTGTAGATCAGGTTCAAGAGGCTCTTAGGTTCCTATGATTACAAACTGAAAAGAAAGCCAATTTAAATGGATGCTTGGTTCCTAAACATTTCCCTTGGAAATTTCCCTGTTGCAAATTATTTCAAAAATATGGTTAAATTTCAGTTGCCTTCCTAAGTAATCCAAAGTCAGAGTGAAACTGGATTGTGAAGTCAAACTCTCACGAGAAGACAGGATATCATGGATGCTTGAACTCTGGTATAAAAACAGAAAATGCTGGGAATATTTAACAGTACTGGCAGCAGCTGCGAGAAAGAATCAGAGTTAATCGCGCAGGACAATGATTTTTCATCAAAACTAGAAACTGTCAGAGATGTTGCCAGTCCTGAGTTATTTTAGTATTTTTGGTATTTCATTATGTTCTCATGTAGTTAGAGAGTTTGGAACAATAGTATGTCACATGAGCAATGCCAAAATCTGAAGGTCTTCCTTATCCGTTTGTTACAACCCTGCTGGAAAGTCACAGTTTGTCAGTAAACCCAAGAACAATTCACCAGATTTTCTAATGGATTTATAATGGTTTGTCGTTTTATGGGTATGCAAAAAACTGCATATCTCATAATGCAAGTTAATAAGCTGAAATATTTTTGTGTTTAGCACTTACCAGCTTGCCGTGGACCTCTCTTTCTCCTGAAGGCAGCTCCTGATTGAAGTGCCTCCATTAGACTATCCATTACACCTGTCTCATCACCCTCTGTGGACAGAGAAATAGCAAGAAACAGAGATCAGACAACTGTTAATAACAAAAGCAAATCATCAGCAATCACACGTGACTAAACTTACTCAGGAATTATGATGATCTTGAACATGAATCTACGTTACTGAGCTAACCATATGGAACAGTCAAAATGAGTACAATTTAAGAACAACAGAACATGCGTTGCTGTACAGAATAAATTTATAAATGCATAATTCGACACATATTTCTGCAATTCCTAACACATAAAATTACAATACATTGCAGTCACTCATACCTCAATCAGAAATCAAATAGTTTCAATACTTTCACCAAGCCCACCTAGTGCCTGCCTCCATGCTCTCATGCAGGTATGGAATTTTGAGGAAGGTACCAGCATTAGCTTTCAATATCTCAGCAAAATGGCCACTCCTAATTTATGGATAATATGGATAATATGAGAGGTTATCATACATGTCTGGTGACAGGTGGGACATGAACCTGGACCTCCTGGATCAGAGACAGGGACACTGCTGCTGCACCACAAGAGCCCGTCACTCTTCATTTATGCATCCTGGTAGCGAATGCCTATCAGCTGTTTGATGGGAGTTAGGGGGCACTGCAGTAACACTTGATGTTTGTTGTCATCCAACATAAACACTACTTTACTTTCCATTTGTAATCACTGGATTCCGAGCAGTTGTAGGAACTATGACATATCCTTCTCGTTTGAAGGATAATTGTCGTGTCTCGACTGCAACAGGTAGTTCAGTATAAGCTGTGAATTTAAGCTTTTGGACCCTTGTCTTCATGATCTCATATAACACAAAGCAGTTGATTTACCCATTCAGTGTTAGGGAATAAATTGTTGCTTTCTCAGTCTCAGAATAAGAACATGTCCTTTGGTTCAAAAATTATCTAAATTGAGATAACTGCTGCAATATTCATCCACTTTTCTCGAAATATCAAAGGAGATGAATTGGTCTTTTAGAAATATGTGAACTCTATGCAAAACAGTAGGAGCATATCTGACCTTCTGTACAGCCACAACCATTCTCAGTATCATAGAGCTGCTCCTTTCAGGTAAACGTAGTCATCAGTTTAGACAGGAAAGAAAGTATAATTAACAAATCCCATAAATGCTGGCAATTCACAGCAGATTTAAAACCATGTTGAAGGAAAAGCTTAATATGATTTTGTCAGAACTCAGGTAACCTTTTCTGTCAGACGTTAATCAACTTCCAATGCATTTGTAGCAGTTACAGAATCATAGAATCGTACAGCATGGAAGCAGACTCTTTGGTTCAACTCAACCACACCGACCAGACATCCCAATCTGACCTAGATAACAAGGTGTAGAGCTGGATGAACACAGCAGGCCAGGCAGCATCAGAGGAGCAGG